CCCCTCCTTGCCTGGCTGGCTTGGACCACCCCACCTGCCCCACAGCCCGCCTTCACACCACCCCCCCACCCGCCCCCTGCAGGGCGGCACGGGCTTCGCGGGCTCTGGAGTGAAGCTGCAGGCAGAGAAGTCGCGGCCCGTGATGCAGGCCTGAGCGCGGGAAACCAAATAAAGGACTTGGAAGCGACTGGCTGGCTGTGCAGCGCCTTCCTTCGCCCCTGGAGCCCCGGGCCGGGGGACCCGAAGAGGTTTTGCGGCGGTGGCGGGCCTGCTGGGATGACCCGAGTTTGAAAGCTGGGCTGTGTTTAGCTTGGTCGCGGGTTAAGGTTAAAATCTGAGTGAACTCAAGTGCACAGCTAAAGTCGATGAACTCAAGTCCCAGCCATGGCCATCTAGACCAGTGGTTCTCAACCTTCCTCATGCCGCGACCCTTTAATACAGTTCCTTATGTTGTGGTGACCCCCAACCATAACATTATTTTCGTTGCTACTTCATAACTGTAATTTTGCTACTGTTATGAATCGTCATGTAAATATCTGATCTGCAGGATGTCTTTTCATTGTTACAAATTGAACATAATTAAAGCATAGTGATTAATCACAAAAACAATATGTAATTATATCTGTGTTTTCCAATGGTCTTAGGCGACCCCTGTGAAAGGGTTGTTCGACCCCCAAAGGGGTCGCGACCCACAGGTTGAGAACCGCTGATCTAGGGCGTCACTTTAACTGGCTAAACTGGGCCCCCCTCCCCGAAAGGACATGGTGGACACTGTGCACCAGGGACGCCCACGGGGTTTTGTGCCAAGTGTGAAGCCTGTGAGGTGTCCGGGAGCACCCCTGCCCCGGAGGAAGTCAAGTTCCGAGAGAATGCCGCAGGCAGCCGCCTGGAGAAGGTGGCAGGAACCCCAGGAGGGTGAGGAGGAGGAGGGGGGTGCAAAGTCCTGGAGGCAGCAAGGACTGCGAGGGTCTGAGGCCAGAGCAAGTGGGGGGGGGGGCGCCTGGTACACCTGCCTGGAGTTCCCACTTGACCAGGACAGCAGGCGTGGCCCTGAAGCTTTCTGTGTGATGACCATTTAATCACAAAGCCTCCCTGGGCCGCGTGGAAAACTAGAGCAGACAGACAAGCAAAGCTGAAAAAAAAGACAACACTCCTGCCTCCTGGGGATGCTGATACCTGGTCCTTCCAGGTCTTTCTCCACCCACACGTTTCTCAACCCAGGTGGGAGCTCAGTGCACGGTCTGCCCTGTCATTGTGGTCAAAGGGCTGCTCATCTAACACCCAGATGCGATTCCAAGGGCCAGGAAGTGTCCGTGTGGCTGCTGTTCGGTCCAGCCCCCTCTGGTGCAAGACCCTGGTGCTGAAGGGAAAGGTTTCAGGGGGAGGGTTTGTGGGGTCATCCTCACACCCTGGGAAGCCCCCAAACCCAGTGTTTGCTCCCCCAGACACTTCTAGAATCTTCCCTTGCCCGGCCAGTGTGGCTCAATGGTTGAGCATCAAGCTATGAACCGGGGGTCACAGTTTGATTCCCGGCCAGTGTGGCTCAGTGGTTGGGTATCGAACAATGAACCAGGAGGTCACAGTTTGGTTCCCGGTCAGGGCACATGCCCAGTTTTCAGGCTTGATCTCTGGTTAGGGGGTGTGCAGTAGGCAGCCAATCAATGACTCCCATCACTGATGTTTCTAACTCCCTCTCTGAAATCAATAATAAATAAATACATTTTTAAAAGAATCTTCCCTTGGTCCCTATTAGTCCTCATAGCTCCTCTTGGGGCCCCAGCCCCTGGAAACTGGCCCAGGTGCCTCTAACATTCAAGGAGCCCTTACCCTCTGAACCTGTGAATCGACAGTCTCCGGAATCCTTGCCACACTTCTGGGATAGAGATGCTCACACCCATTTCCTAGAACAGCCCACTGAGGCTCAGAAGACAGCTTGCCCAAACTCGCACTCCTCAAGGCCTAGCATAAGCCAAGTTCACCCAGAGGTCTGCCACCTCCGGAGACACCCACCCCAGGCTGGCTCTGCCCTTCCCCCCATCCTTTCTACCCTCCTTCTCCCAGGTATTCCCAGTTTCCCCCCACAGACCTCTCCACCTTTATACCCAGCCCACTCTCAGATCCCCTCCCCTACACACCCCCAATCCTCCTCTTTCCCAAGCACCCTCAACCCCCCCCCCCCCAGTCCTTCCAGTTTTTTCTCTCAGATCCTCAAGGTCTCTAATCTAGTTCCTGTGTGCTACGGACTACCCCCCTTAACCCAAAGAACTTCTAGGATTTCCGCCTGGCACCTTTATTTCCACAAGAAACCGAAATCCACATCTTCTATTCACAGGCTATTTGTGAGAACGGGGTAGGGAGATGTCAAGGTCTTTCCTCCAGGAAACAGATTTCCTTTAAGGTTTCACCACTAACAAAAGCCCAGCTGGTGTGGTTCAGTGATTGAGTGTCCACCCATCAACCAGGAGGTCACAGTTGGATTCCCAATCAGGGCACATGACTGGGTTGTGGGCTCAATCCCCAGTCGGGGGCTTGCAGGAGGCAGCTGGTCAATGATTCTCATCATTGATGTTTCTATTTCTCTCTTCCTTCTCCCTTCCTCTCTGAAATCAATAAAATATATATATATATATATATTTTTAAATGTACAAAGGTAGTCCTAACCGGTTTGGCTCAATGGATAGAGTGTCGGCCTGCGGACTCAAGGGTTCCAGGTTCGATTCTGGTCAAGGGCATGTACCTTGGTTGTGGGCACATCCCCAGTAGGGAGTGTGCAGGAGGCAGCTGATTGATGTTTCTCTCTCATCGATGTTTCTAACTCTCTATCCCTCTCTCTATCCCTCTCCCTTCCTCTCTGTAAAAAATCAATAAAATATATTTTAAAAAAATAAAAAATAAATGTACAAAGGTAACAGGAAAAGGAAGCAGTCTTGGCCGTCGTGGCTCAGTTGACTGGGCAGCGTCCAGTGCGCCAAAGGGTTACTGGTTCCCTTCCTGTCAGGGTACATATGCCCGGTTGTGGGTTCGCTATCACATCACATCAATGTTTCTCTCTCCTTCTCGCTCTAAAAATAAATTTAAAAATCTTAAAAAAAAAGAGGAAGCAAGGCAGACAGGAGAAGAGAGACAGGAAGTGGACACAAATCTTGTCTTTTCTCAGCGGAGGTTCCCTAGACACTGGTCTGAGTTTAGAGCAAGAAGCGGGCATGCCTGTTGGTGCGTCTCAGCACCCCCCTGGCAGCGCTGTAAGGCCGCTGCAATTGCTTGTTCAGATGTTTAAATGGGGAAATTTATTCTGGGAAAAGGACAACCACATGGACAGGGAGCAAATCCTTGCTTGCCAGGGGAGGGGGAAGGATTGGCTATAAGGCTGGGGGTTGGCATGAGAATCCGGGGTGGAGGGGAGGGAGCTGTTCTTACTGTCACATGTGCTGGCACTTTCCATGCAGCATCGTTTATTTATAAAAGACCAGAAACAACCTAAATGCCGGTTAGCAGAGAACTGGTTAAATAATCTATCTAAAAAAAAAAAAAGAAATCTATCTAGGAAAGTGGTTCTCAGCTGTTAAAAAGACAAAGGAAATGAAGACATTCTTTTTTTTTTCTTCTTCAAAGTGTAATCTAGGTCACTCTGATCTCTGAGAGAGGAAGGGAGGGGGAGAGAGAGAGGAGCATCGATCAGTTGCCCCCTGGGTGACTGGGGATCGAACCTGCAACCTAGGTATGTGCCCTGACCTGGAATCGAACCCACAACCTTTTGGTGCACCGGGCAACGCTCCAACCAACCAAGCCACCCAGTCAGGGCGAAGACATTGTTGGACTAAACTGAAACAGTCTTCAAAATATATATTTCAGCCCTAACCGGTTTGGCTCAGTGGATAGAGCGTCAGCCTGCGGACTAAAGGGTCCCAGGTTCGATTCCAATCAAGGGCATGTACCTTGGTTGCGGGCACATCCCCAGTAGGGGGTGTGCAGGAGGCAGCTGATCGATGTTTCTCTCTCATCGATGTTTCTAACTCTCTATCCCTCTCCCTTCCTCTCTGTAAAAAATCAATAAAATCTATATTTTAAATATATATATATATATATTCTTCATTACCTCGATAAAAAGTAAGTAAATTTAAAATCAGAGGATTCTGACTCAAAAAAAAATATATTGAGAAAAACAAGAGGCCGTGCCCTCCATGGCCCTCGATCTGTCTCTTGCATCAAGTATTTAGAAGGAACAGACCCAGGGACGCCCCTTCTTCCAGCCTCCGGTCACCCCCAATCTCTTTTCCAGTCACCACCTTCTAGGAACCACCGCAGCCAGCCTCAGCCTCCAAGATCAGCCAACACCGGTTTTTTACCTTAAATAAACTCCTATTGCCAAACAACCACGAGCCCCCAAATCCGTCAGAATCATGCCACGGAGGTGGAGGCTGCGGTCACCCGCTGGCCGTCCGGCCTCTGCGGGCCTCCCGCACCTACCTCTCTCTGGGCCTCCATTTCCACTGCGAGGATGTGACTCTCAAGGGAGGGTGGGGGCCGCTGCTTCTGAGAGTCGGCCCAGAAGAAGCGAGGGCACCGAGAGCATCTCTTACAGATGCAAACCAGCGAGGGGCCGCGTTCTCTTCCAGGACGTGCAGGAGCCTTCCCCAGGTGGTGAGCAAAACTAGGGCCTCGTGGAAGCCGCTGTGGTCCCGGGGAACCAGAACCAGAACCCTTTGGACCTGCAGGCGCAGACCCTCAGCTCTGCGACTTCCTGCAGAACCACTTCCGGGGTGAGCAGGTGAAACGCATCAAGAAGACGGGCCACACCTGCCTCACCTCCGCAGGCTGCAGGCCCTCAGGCTGCGCTGGGCAGGTGTCGCTGGGAAAGGCTCTCCCTCCAGCACAACCAGGAGCCTGTGGAGCCCAGAGGCCTCTGAGGGGCCCCTCTGCATCCCCTGGTGTCTTTGGCTTTTGCCTGAGCCTCTCCCCGAAACTACTAGCCTTTCTTATAATCACCCTGGAGCCCTCTCCCATGCATTGGACCAAAGGGAAACAATTAAGCTTTTTTCAGGGGAGAAAAAAGAGAGGTAAAAATCTTGTCAATCATCTGCTATAATTTCTATTAAAAGAAGAAAAACAATTGGTATATATTTGCTTACATCTATAAATTCTTTCCGGAAAGAAACACTGGCTAATGCCCTGGCTGGTTTGGCTCAGTGGATAGAGCGTCAGCCTGCGGACTGAAGGGTCCCGGGTTCGATTCCGGTGAAGGGCACATGCCCAGGCTGCGGGCTCAGTGCCCCATAGGGGGCGTGCAGGAATGGCAGCCAATCAATGATTCTCTCTCATCATTGATGTTTCTATCTCTCTCTCTCCCCCTCTCCCTTCATCTCTGAAATCAATAAGAATTCAAAAAAATAAAAATAAATAAAGAAGAAACACTGGCTACTTGTGCACTTGGTGGAAGGAAGAGTTCATTTCTGGTATCTAGCATCTTGTATATTTGGAAGTTTGTTATCTTGCATGGCCAAAAATTTAAAATAACCAAAATGCAAAAGATTTAAAAAAAAAAAAACTTGAGCCCTGGCTGGTTTGGCTCAGTGGATAGAGCATCGGCCTGCAGACTGAAGGGTCCCGGGTTCGATTCCGGTCAAGGGCATGTACCTTGGTTGTGGGCACATCCCCAGCAGGGGGTGTGCAGGAGGCAGCTGGTCGATGTTTCTCCCTCATCGATGTTTCTAACTCTCTATCCCTCTCCCCTCTTCTCTGTAAAAAATCAATAAAGTATATTTTTAAAAAACTTGATGAGGTGCTGGGCAGCTTGCCATCGTAAGTTGTTCTGTAAAAGTAATTTGTTACCTTGTGTGAATATTACTTTGATTTTTAAAAAATATACAAATTTGCCCTGCTTCTGTATAAACCAGCTCTCCTTCCCCAACCACTAGGGGGCAGTATGTTATCATAACTAAAAGCTTGGAGTGGGACACTGGGATTATTCAAATTCCAACCCTTCCATGGATTAACAGTTATAAACTCTGGATAAGACTAAAATAATAATAATAATAATAATAATAATAAATTAATTAAAGGCACTAGAAAGTGAACAGAAACAGGCAGGAACTGGAGGGGAACTGAGATTCACAAAGAGGAAAGGCAGTGGGTGTCTTTCTCGTCAGCACAGCTTTCAGCCTGGGGGCCAGTTTCTAGTTCACCCCCAGAGGCAGGTACAACACCCAGAGGGAAACCGCAGGCCTCCTAGCCTGAAGCACCACAGCAACGGGGAAGTGGGGTACACACCTGGGGAAGAGAGCGCCGGCCGGCTGGTGTGGCTCAGAGGTTGAGCGTCGACCTAGGAGCCAGGAGGTCACGGTTCGATTCCCAGTCAGGGCACATGCCCAGGTTGCGGGCTCGATCCCCAGTGGGGGGTGTGCAGGAGGCAGCTGATCCATGATTCTCTGTCATCAGGATGTTTCTATCTTTCTCTCCCTCTCCCTTCCTCTCTGAAATCAATAAAAATGTTTAAAAGAGAGAGAGAGAGAGCATAAATATTGAGGGCTCACTTTTGGTTGTGGTACATTCTACAGGTTTTGACAAATGTAAAATGATGTCCATCCACCGTTACAGCATCACACAAAACCGTTGCACTGACCTAAAAATCAGGGGCATTTTTTAAAAGATGATTCTTTAAATATGTTATTAATTTTTAGAGAGAGAGGAAGGGAGAGAGAGAGATAGAAACATCGATGAGAGATAAACATCATTTGGCTGCCTCCTGCACGCCCCCTGCTGGGAATCAAGCCAGCAACGGGGCATGTGCCCCCCTCTTTTTTTTTTTTTTAATATATTTTATTGATTTTTTACAGAGAGGAAGGGAGAGAGATAGAGAGTTAGAAACATCGATGAGAGAGAAACATCAATCAGCTGCCTCCTGCACATCTCCCACTGGGGATGTGCCCGCAACCAAGGTACATGCCCTTGACCGGAATCGAACCTGGGACCTTTCAGTCCGCAGGCCGACGCTCTATCCACTGAGCCAAACCGGTTTCTGCAAGGCATGTGCCCTTTTGGGAATCAAACTGTGACCTCTTGGTTCATGGGTTGACAAGCAAACCACTGAGCCACACCAGCTGGGCAGCTTTTTTTTTTTTTAATGAGAGAGGAAGGGTGAGGGAGAGAGAAACATCGATGTGGGAGTGAAACATTCATTCCTCAACCGGGGATGGAGCCTGCAACCCATGCATGTGCCCTGACTGGGAACTGAACGGCGACCTTTTGGTGCACAGGAAGATGATGCCCAACCCACTGAGGCGCACTGGCCAGGGCTCAGGGGAATTTTCTGGAAGCAAACTTCGAAGTGCATCACACATAAAAGTGGACACATCCTGCATGGACAGCTGGGTGCATTTTTACAGGCTCCCCCCCCCCCCCCCCGAAGCAGCTCCCAGCTCCAGCTCGGCTCCCCAGGGCCCGCCTCAGGCCCATTCCAGTCCTCCCAAAACGGGGGCGCACCAGCCTGACCTCTGACCCCCAGCTTAGTTCTGCCTGTTCTTGAACTTCCTATAAGTGGAATCCCTGGCGAGTGACCCTCTGCGCCCAGCTCCTTTCGCTCGCTCCTCGGGGCCTGGGGATTAAACTCCCCCGTGGTGAGCCCGTGGGCCGGCCCCAGTGTGGGACTATTGTGGTTAAAGTTGCCCCGAACCTCATTTCGGTGACTTTGTTTCCACTCGGGAGCTACCAGGAGTGGAACCGCCGGGACCAACTAAGGCACGTTCAGTTCTAGAGGCTTTAACCGGGGGCCTCCGGGGGCTGCGGGAGGAATAAACGTCGGTTACGTCCTCATCCTGTTGCCTCTGCCTCCACTCGGCAGCAGAGTGACTGTTGTAACCCAGGTCAGTTCACACCCACCCTCTGCTCGGGGTTCCCCAGGGGGCCCTGGCGTACATCCCGCCCCAGCATTTCGGGGTGCCTGCCGCTCTCTATCTTGTCCCATCAGACTGGGACCACCATGACCTGGTCCTGGTTCTCTCGCTGCCCTCTCCGCCCGCCCTCAGGCCACTCCAGCCACCCTGGGCCTCCTGCGGACCCTCACCCACCAGGCCCTCTCCTGCCACAGGGCCTTTGCACCTGCCGTCCCCTCCCCCTGAACCCTCTCCCCCCAGGGCTCCCTCCCTCCCTCCGTGTACTAGGGAGGCCTGCCCCCCTCCCCATGGAGAGCGTTGCCCTCACTTGCTGTGCGGAAGGCAGAGCTCTGTCCGGCCTGTTCGCGCTGGGTGCAGGCTGCTGGTTTCATTTTTCATCCCCAGGGACGCCCTGGAACCTGCCAACACCCACAGCCGCCCCTTCAAATACTCCGTCCCCTCCTTCAGCACAGTCCCCCCCACTCCTCGCATGTTCCTCTCCAAGTCACAGTCCCCAATTCCTCCCCTCGGGGCCCCCCCACCGGACCTTCAGAAAAACACACGGAGGAGCCCAGCGCTGGGT